GGGGGGGGGGGGCAAATGGCCAACGCTGCCCTACCCAAGTAACGACCCTGACCCCTGGAATGATTACGTCCCCCGAGCATTCCCTGGCTCCATGTCTAAAAATAAAATGCTGACCGTCGAGCCCGTGTCCACGCCATCAAGGAAAAGACGACCAGTGAATTTGATATTATTTAAAAAAGCCAAAAAAGTGAGTGTTACTTCACTTGAGTTCAATAAGAAATAAGTCTTGTCCTTGGCTGCTTCGCTCTGGCTCTGGCTGGTAGCTATGTCCTGTCATGAGCCATGCTTGCCTGCTGACTCCAGATAGTTGACCGGTGGCTGGGTCTATCCTGGTCACCGTTTGTCCTCCAACAAACATTCGGTATTTAAAAAAAAAGAAAAAACATTAATAACAAGACCGTACAGCTTGCTGTTGGTGGAGGGGAGGTAACACGCATGTACAGCTTTTAACGGCGGTTATAAAAATTTCCTCGACAGTTATCTCTCTTTGACCTTCTCATTTGTTTATTTGTGTACATCATCTCTACTATCTGTTTCTCTCTCCCACTTGTACATTTGCGTACATTATCTCTTCTATCTGTCTCTACTCTTAGCTGTAGGTGTATGCAGGAGAGCAGTGGTTCTCAATCTTTTTGAAGTCCGAGGAACACTAAAATCGAATTTATAAATATTTTATTTCTTTGCGTAACACCTACAATAAAGCCATATGTTATATTCACCAGCATGTTACTGAACCCTTGATTACTGTAAGGCTATCCACGGCTGCTTAAAGATTTTGTTGTCTTGTAAGTATGTTAATATGTTCTGCTAAAAATAATAAATAAATCAGAGTTTATTATTGTCCTATCATACCATCTTTTATTTATAAAAAGATCCAAATACCGAAATTGATCGATGCAAACATATTTAATTCACAACTAGAAATCAATTTTTGTGTGTGCAAAATTTGACATCCCACAAACACAAACACACACTTACATAGAAATTTGCTGCGCAGAGTCTGTGAGATAGCGCAGCTTAAAGGGAACATTGGTTGTATCCTGTACAGAAGGCAGCATTTCAGTGGTTGCATCATACACAATACACACATGCACGCAGGCAAACAGGCAACTTAATTAAGAAAGAACAGAGTTGACAGCTCGATTACACAAAATTACGGACAATTATGACAAGTGTCCACACTTTGTACGGACTTTTTTGTATGCAGACAATTTTATCAGAAAATGACGGAGATAAAACGGGAATGCAAATAACCGAATGTCTGTAACGGTATGACGCCTTATCCACTTATTTACGGCACTGTCAGTCCATTGAAGGATACACCAATTTAGGTCACATATATACGGCACACACTGTCAGTACATTTAAGAACACACCAATTTAAGTCACATATTTACGGCACTTTCAGTACATTTAAGAACACACCAATTTAAGTCACATAGTTACGGCACTGTCAGTACATTTAAGAACACACCAATTTAAGTCACATATTTACGGCACTTTCAGTACATTTAAGAACACACCAATTTAAGTCACATATTTACGGCACTGTCAGTACATTTAAGAACACACCAATTTAAGAACACACCAATTTAAGTCACATATTTACGGCACTGTCAGTACATTTAAGAACACACCAATTTAAGTCACATATTTACGGCACTGTCAGTACATTTAAGAACACACCAATTTAAGTCACATATTTACGGCACTTTCAGTACATTTAAGAACACACCAATTTAAGTCACATATTTACGGCACTGTCAGTACATTTAAGAACACACCAATTTAAGTCACATATTTACGGCACTGTCAGTACATTTAAGAACACACCAATTTAAGTCACATATTTACGGCACTTTCAGTACATTTAAGAACACACCAATTTAAGTCACATATTTACGACACTGTCAGTACATTTAAGAACACACCAATTTAAGTCACATATTTACGGCACTTTCAGTACATTTAAGAACACACCAATTTAAGTCACATATTTACGGCACTGTCTGTAACTTCACAGACAGCTGAAAACACAATGTGACAATGATTGTTCTGCCTTACATGTCCCCTCTTTTTGTCATTTTAAGCAAAGTGCTAACAATTTGCTCCGCGTCTGCCCCCAATTTGTACCACCCGATCAACGAATTGTTGGGCGGACAACTGCAGTTCAGTAATGCAACTTTAACATTTCCAGTGTTATC